GTGAGAAGTGATTCTCAAAAATTTCCTGGTGTGCACTGAAGCAAAACCAAAACCTTTCAAAGGCTCTGTGGTGAACAGTGAAGCCCTGCAGGGTGCGTGGATTTGGATGTCCCTGATTTCAAGCAGGGGCTGTCCCCGGTTAATGCCCTGACCACCTGGTTTAGACCGTGTGGCTGTGACTGCATCTGTGTGTGTGGATGTCTTTCCAACAATTCATCTGCATTGTTTTCTTCATCTCTTTTGGCTATAAATTAGACCAGATGGCTCCTAACCAACGTTTCTTGGGAATGGACACATTCCCAGAAAAGACCTGTTCTTCTAGGCCTGCGTTTTCTGCTGGAAACCATCCTTGCCTAATTCCACATAGCTCATCTGAGCTTAGTCCCAACGCCGGGCAGGTTACTTTGCTGTGCCTGGCATTTCGTAGCTGAAAATCAGAGACAAAAATACTGGCCTGCTGCACAAAGTCAGTCCTGGGGAGGACAACCATTATATAAATCGCAGTGTTGTTAGTGTCCAGTAGTTGCTATCGTTCTAGATATCTTTTTCTTACAGTGCTGCTCCGACTGCAGAGCTCCCTGCTCTCCGCTCTGGCCCGCCGAGCTGTTTGTCTGGAGCCTTAATGAACTTCCTGTATCTTTTCAAAATGTAAATTGTAACCAATTTAGAAGTCATTAGTCAAGAAGTCTGTCACTGCAGCCCCCGTTTCATTTCACCTGTCCCTTCCCATGCTTCCATTAAACCCCATTTAATTAAAAAGGCGCTCTCGTTCTCAGGGCGGTCATCTCCTTTTGAAATAAATGTCCCCCAAAGTCCGTGACTCAGCTGACAACACGCAAGTAGCAACCAAGACCTGGATGATCAGGCTTTCCAGCACAAATTAATGAAGAACTGTTCTTTTCTCTCCACATATGCACCAGCATGAAGGGAAAAGAAAACAAGAGATGTCAAAATGCAATTTGGTTTCTTTGCTGCGTGTAGGCATGTAGAGAAAACGGGGATGCAGCTGCTGTAACCCCGCAATACCTCTCCCAGGTTGTCCCCAGGGACTGATGGGGATGTGAAACTCTAACGTGATTGCTGCTTGAGGTAAGGCTTTAGCTGCGAAAATCCATGTTTCCAGCCAAGTTACTTAAATCAAATGCGCTTAGCTGGATTGCAAACTCCGCTTAATGGGAATGTTGCTCACCATTTAACATCTGGGTTTTGGCATGAGCAGGTTGAGTCATACCCTGCATTTCTCTTTCTGGATGCAACGCAGAAGGCGGCGTTTTTATGTTGCCTTGGCTAGAGGCTAAACTGTGGTTCTCCTGGCCGTTGTCTCTGGGACAAAGCCTCCTCTCCTCTCAAGGCTTCCTCCTGCCGTTCTCAGCATTCCTTTGCCTGTGCCTTCCCTCTGAGCTCATGAGGACGTGGTGGAATGGGCCAGGGAACCGATCCTGGCTTCTCATAATCTTTTTATCGCCAAAAGACATGTCTGTGGAACAGCAGCCTTAGAAAACACTGGTGGAACCCAAGAGTGGACTGTTGTCTGCCTGAGTTCATCTCCCTTTCAGATGTCTTCAGTGAGGCTGAACAAGCCCAGGTCCTCTCGCTCCATACCCTAGTGATGCCAGACTTCTCCGCACTTCTGCCTGTGTCTGTCTGTCTTTCTGTCTTGAATATGAACGACTTGGCCAGATGAGCTCTTGCCTTGCCCTTAGCACCGTAGGAATGTCCCGATGAACGTGGTCAGGAGGCTGGAGCACATGACATAAGAGGAGAGGCTGGGGGAGCTGGCTTGGTGTAGCCTGGAGAAGAGAAGGCTGAGCAAGATCTAATTGCTCTTTTCAACTACGTAATTAAGAATAATCTTAAGGGAGAAGGGAGAGCCTGACTCCCCTCAGAGGTGTGTGATGGAAGGACGAAAGGCAACGGGTGTAAGCTGCAGCAAGGGAAATTCCAATGAGATACAAGAGAAAATGTTTTCACTGCGAGGATGGTGAAAGCCCAGAGAGGTGGGAGCATCGCTTTCCTTTGAGGTATTCAACACTCATCTGGACAAGGTACCTTCCAGCCTAAATCTTTATGTAATTCTGCAAATGACTGTGAAATAAAACAGAAGGAATTGTGTGTACAAGGAGAAATCAGTCTGAATGCAGCATGCACAGTCTCCTTATCTGGCTTTGAAATAGCATTACTCCATTTCAGCAGGTCCTTGCTGACGTCTGGCCAAGAGCTAAGCAAACTGCATCACCGACGTGGAATATTTGCTTTTCTACTTGAACTGTGGAGTTTCACAGATAACTCTGAGAGCAGCAAGGCTACTTTCATCTCCCCAGAGCTAATCCAAATAGATTATGTTGCTGGAGGAAGTTGGGGGAATGCACGAGAAGACATGTGTGTACAAGGAGAAATCAGTCTGAATGCAGCATGCACAGTCTCCTTATCTGGCTTTGAAATAGCATTACTCCATTTCAGCAGGTCCTTGCTGACGTCTGGCCAAGAGCTAAGCAAACTGCATCACCGACGTGGAATATTTGCTTTTCTACTTGAACTGTGGAGTTCACAGATAACTCTGAGAGCAGCAAGGCTACTTTCATCTCCCCAGAGCTAATCCAAATAGATTATGTTGCTGGAGGAAGTTGGGGGAATGCACGAGAAGACAGGGTATCTTTATTTAAAGATAAATTTAAAAAATCCTTAAAATCAAAGCACTTAGTAGGGGTCCAGCAGGATCGTGAGTTACCGATCCTTGCCGGTACTGCATTAATCTCCTGTGTTACCTCTCGACTGAATTGCCTTCTCTCTCCAACAAGTGGTGCTCCTAGCTAGTGCTAATTGGGCAGGGTGGGAAAAGGAGCAGAGCAGTTGGCTCTTTGTACCTAATCTGTGGATAAATGGGGGAACGTAGGATTGTGAGGACTGTCAGGCTGGATTAGACTCAAGGCACATGTAATCTAGTACTTTGCTTTCTTCGATGGCCAACACAGCAGGTTTCCAGGGGTCATTTTAAAAGCTGTACAGAAGGCTTCAGAGGAAGAATCAATTCTTTTCTCCCCCTTTTCCCAAAATATCGCCCTGTCTGCCTTCCTTGCAGGGTCAACTTTCAAAAATCAGGAGGATTTCTGAGAGGCTCTGGAAGGCTGTGAGCCGCTGATGGTGGTGTAGACCCGCCTTGTAGGGGCGAGTGGTTGGGGTTGACACGGCAGCCTGGGCTGCAGGGACAGCCAGGGGAAGGCAGCTTGCGTCCCTGGGTGGGTGGGAAGAGGTCAGAGCTGAATCATGGCCTTTGCCAGGAGCTATCGGGAGTCTTTTGCTGCCTCTGTGTATTTTACATGTGCAGTGGGCGTTGAATCATGAAAGCCTGGAGCCTCTAAAAAAAAGGGCAGGGAAACCCAGGCAACGTTTGTCCCTCAAAAGCAGTCAGAAAAGCACTTTTGCAGGGATCACTTTCTGCAGGGACCTGTCTCCCACAGAGGTCAAGATGCTGAGAAATGATTTTTGCTCTGGGTTGCAGAGCCTAAAGGAAAAGAAGCTAAACTGGATCCTCTCGAGAGAGATGCGAAACCAGTATCCCCATAAGAGAGATTCACTGGATTTCATCTGCCAGTTGAAACCAAGTGATTAGGGAAAAAGCAGTGTACGAGGCTAGGTAGCTCCTGGGCTAGATTTCTGCATAGCCCATCCCTTTTAGAGCATCAGTTAAAACGCCCCAGGGACTTAGCATCCTCTCTGGATTGCAGGCAGGTTGTGACCCCAGAGGTATATACCCCAAAATGGCAAAAGATGCCTATATACAAATATTTGGCAGGCTTGTGTGGCGAAGGCAGACAAGAAGAGACCCCCAAAGCCCCAGCAGCTGCCTTGCAGGTATTGCCATTTTAGAGGGGGAGCGCAAAAGCAGAAGGAGGTTTCTAGGCAGCGCTAGAAAGGAAGGGAAGCACCTTTCAGCGTGTCAGCTAACATTTAGTTATGCATAATCACACCGGTCAAATCAAAATAATAATGGAAACAAATTTTTTAAAGACAGAGTGGCACACAGGAGGTTTTCCTGCTGTTAATCCCAGACCCCTGCTCTCGGGGCTAGGAGGGAAAGATGCATAAGGATTTGGAGTTACATTTTTCCTTTATTTTCTCAGCTGTATTATACATGGAATGATCGGACACAAGAAAATGTACCCTGGCATTGTGACTTCATGATTTCTGTTGTGTTGAGAAATAAATGTTTGGTGCTGGAAGCCATAAACTTCTAAAGCATAGCACCATTTGCTTGGTCTATATTTTCATCTTCATAAAATCATGGATTCTGAAAACATAATCTTGCAGTAATTTCTCCTAGAATCTAATGGTTCTGCTGGCTGCCCATATTCGTGTGATGTCTGGGCTTTCCGAGGGCTTTTTGTTACTCGTTTTCTCTCTCAATGAGCTATTGTGGAAATGGAAACACTGGTCTGCCTGTGACAATCCTGAAGAATGCCTACTTTCCCTCTTATACCTTACAAAAGTAACAAGTCCTTAGGGACTATATATACTTGATCTCTTGTTTATTATGGGCTGTCGCTGACTGGCAATAATGAGAGTGTTTCCATTTGCTTTCATCTGGCTGCAGGTAAATGTTTACCTGCTGCTGCGCCTTTTGAAATAAGCTTTCTCTGGGTTATTTTCTGTGACACATCTCCGAGGCAAATCCATTCCTTGATCTACTTGGTCTACTGGATCTATTTTCTGATTAGATCCCTCATCTGGTTGATGATGCCCCACAATGTTATCACAAGGTGCAAGAAGAAGATGGATGGGAACCCCCCTGAATTTTAAGCATGATCTGAAAGATGTTTCCGGAAAGCTGGCAGGGCCTTATTTTAAATGTCTGAAGAAGTCCCTCATAACAGACATGCTTTTCTGTCTGGAAAGCTGGAGAACCCACAAAGGATTTTGGGAGGTTACATCTCCATGCTCTGGACAACGGTAGGCTTCTCGCATCCCAGGCATCAGCAGGCTTCAGTGAGGTATTGTCTGACTTTCTTGTAGCCAAACACAATGACATCGGAACTGGATGAGTAATAGATGCAGGACAGCACTATGTAGAGACCTCTGAGGATGCTGCTCTCAAAGTTGTGCTTAAGGAGCCCTGAAACAGGAGCAATCGAGGTGATGTCGTTGGAGAGCCAGCAGACAACATAAATGGAGAGCAGCGAGAGCAAGGTCTTGGTTGCCTGAGCTGTGTGCTTGTTCCAGGTGCTCCCCGTGGTCGAGGCAGCCCTTATCTTTCTCTTCTGCCTCCAGAGGAGGTCAATAATGAATCCATTCAGGACTACCACAAGGATGATGAAGATGAGATCCAGGCTGATGGATGTGTAGGTGATAAACTTCATGATGAAACTCCCTGCAGAACTTAAGCAAGTGCTGGGAGCCAAGCACACAAGTTTCACTACTTGTCCTCTCTGCTGTTGCGTTGTACCAAAGGTAGGGCAATTGGAAGACGATGCTGAAGATCCAGCAGCCAGCAAGGATGGTGTTCCTGTACTGCCCCTGGTGCCTGTGAATGAACTTGGACCAGTGATGACTAGGTCTGTGGATCTTTATCAAGTGGAGGAAACTTAGATTCTCCACTGACCAGGTGCTGATCAACCTCAGCATGTGATATGCATAGAGGAGGATGCGGCATCCCCTCTCACCAAAAACACTGGTGCCAGAAAAGGAGAGGGCTGCTGGAACCTCTTTGTAACAACAGAGTAAGAGGTTCACCAGGGCCATGGTTACAATGATCCCATCTAAGGGTTGAAGGACTTTGTGCCGGATGGCATTACTCATAAAGGCAAAGAGCACAATGAGGTTGCCTATTGTGCCAGTAAATGCCAAGAGATAAATGAAGATGGGAATAGGGTTACGTACCGTAACTGATGCCTGAAGAGGGGCTCCCATAGCCTTTCCCAGCTGCTTTCCTAACTTCTTTCTCCTTGCCTTGGCTGCTTGATCCTACCACATCTGCCTCTGGCTCTGTACCACGTCTCAGTGGTAGCAGTGTTGCTATCGCCTCTCTCCATGGGGCCGTTCCCTGCTCCCCGCCAAGGTTTGCAAGCTACAGCTCCACTGCTTCGATTGCTTTGCTGCCTGAGCAGCTGCGCTTATCTCACTTGGAAGGGCCAGGGAGGGTGGAGCTGTGCTGAGACTGAAAATGTTGCATACGTAATTAGAAAGGTTTGCAAGTGAAAAGCCCTGCAAGAAGTGGTGGGTTTGGAGGGAGTGCTTCAGAGCTGAGGTTAGCCTGAAGCTTGCACTGAGCACTGGGAAGACTGCCCTGCTGTGGCTGGTCACTCGGTGCTGGAGGTGGTTAAGGAAAAGTCTGGCTTGATGGGACAGGGAGGTGCGTGAGTCCCTGTGTGTGTGAAGGTGAAAGAGGAGAGTTGTTCTGAGCAAACACTGGGGGAAAAAAAGGTATCAGAAAGAGCCCATGACTGCAATGCAGAAGTCCGTGTCTTAACTGTTGTCCAGCCCTCTCCTTCTTCTATTCCCACCCATCCCACCCAGCAGGCAACGAACCTCATCGGAGCCCTCGAGCTTGATTTCCTAGTCCCTCAGGGCTGACAGATCTGCCTCAGGGCATGCACAGAAATGCCCCGCTGGAGTTATCAGAGCTCACCAGAGATCGTCAGTGTGGCATGTATCAGCATCAGCCAGAGACAGTTGTAGCTGCTTTGTTAAAAAAAGGAAAACTCTGGTGCAAACACTCCCCTTGCACTTAAAGGCAGAGCACCTGCCCGGATTCCTGTCACTCCCAGGAAGAAGCTGTCTGACAGCCGGGCTCCTGGCTCCCCGCCGTGCAATCATAGAATCATAGAAACACAGAAACATAGAATCATAGAACAGTTTGGGTTGGAGGGGACCTTCAAAGGTCATCTCATCCAGCCCCCCTGCCATGGGCAGGGACATCTTCAACCAGATCAGGTTGCTCAGAGCCCCGTCCAACCTGGCCTTGAATGTTTTCCAGAGATGGGGCATCCACCACCTCTCTGGGCAACCTGGGCCAGTGTTTCACTATCCTCTTCACAAAAAATTCCTTATATCTAGTCTGAATCTGCCCTCTTTTAGTTTACAACCATTACCCCTTGTCCTATCACTACTGGCCCTGCTAAAAAGTCTGTCCCCATCTTTCTTACAAGCCCCCTTTAAGCACAGCAAGGCTGCAATCAGGTCTCCCCGCAGCCTCCTCCTCTCCAGGCTGAACCCCCCCCAGCTCTCAGCCTGTCCTCACAGCAGAGCTGTGCCACCCTTGGAGCATCTTCATGGCCTCCTCCGGCCCCGCTCCAACAGGTCCCTGTCCTTCCCGTGCTGAGGACCCCTGAGCTGGACGCAGGGCTCCAGGGGGGTCTCCCCAGAGTGGAGCAGAGGGGCAGAATCCCCTCCCTCGCCCCGCTGCCCACGCTGCAGGTGAGGCAGCCCAGGGTACGGTTGGCTTTCTGGGCTGCGAGAGCACATTGCCAGCTCATGTCCAGCTTTTCATCCCCCAGTACCCCACATCCTTCTCCTCAGGGCTGCTCTCAATCCCTTCATCCCCCAGCCTGTATTGATACAGGGGTTGCCCCAACGCAGGTGCAGGACCCTGCACTTGGCCTTGTTGAACCTCATGAGGTTCACATGGGCCCATTTCTCCAGCTTGTCCAGGTCCCTCTGGATGCCATCCCCTCCCTCAGGCGTGTCAACCACACCACTCAGCTTGGTGTTGGCTGCAAACACGCTGAGGGAGCGCTCAATTCCACTATGTCATTGATGAAGATATTACGATGGAATCCTGTTGGGGCTGGAGTGGGATGCAGGCAGGAGCAGCCTGGTCAGGGTGGGAGAGGGGCTCTGGGCTCCCACAGAAGCTCAGGTCACAGCTTCCGAGTTTCCTTGCCGCTGTCTAAAATAAAAGTAAGAGGGGCTCAAGCTGCCCAGTTCGTATCCAACTCTCCCCTCTGTGCTTCTTGGGAAGGGATACGTCATTGCTGGTGGGAGCACAGAGACTTACTGGGGATGTTCTGCTGCAGTGGTGGTTTCTGGGTATCTTTTGATGTGGGGATGGACGGGATGGACACGTTGGTGGTTAAAATAAACCCTCTGAGAAGAAGGAACAGAATCCAGGGCTCATTTTGCTTTCAGGCTCCTGCAGTACTTATTCACTTTAAGGCAATACTTCAGCTTCAGAGGCAGTATTTTTTTTCATGCAGAATATTAGTCTGAGGAGTTTATTTCCATTTTACCAGACTTTTCAAAATCAAGTGACCATTTATTTTACTGATTGGAATTGGAACCGTGCTAAAATAATTTTTCTTTCAGTGGAAACACAAGAAAAAACACTTTTGATTTTATCCTCTCCCAGCTTTATTCCCAAATGATGTTGACTCATGGTGGCTGGATCAGACAGGGAGAGAGGGAGGTCCCCATGCTGGGGGTCAGTACCATACCGTGTTTTTGAGGCTCAGTGGTGTACCCTGCTGGGGCTAACTGGTTTTGCTGAGCCTGGTCTGCTTTTGACCATGCAGGTGTCAGCATGGGGAGAAGCAAATAACCCTGCTACTCAAACGAGGGCTCCTATTGCAGCCCCTCTTGAGGTCAGACCCCGGCAAGAGCTCGTATTTGGCCTGTGTTGTCTTTCTTGCTAACAGCTCCTTCCTTTAATGGTGGCCCAAACCAGATGCCTTGAGGAAAACAAACAGCAGATCTTTCCTCTGCATTTAGGAATCAACAGCTTAGGACTCTCCTGGCTGGGGTTGTCTCTGCGTTAGAGCCTTCAATGGACCTTTCCTCCCTGGGTTTGCATCTTTGCTTTTGAATCCATTCAAAGGAATGCCTGCTGTAAGCCAAGAGGAGGCTGTGAATACCGACGGGAGGCAGGGAAGTGGCCATCCCAGCCAGAGCCCCAGGGGCTCCCATAGTCTGCTCCACGACTGAGAGCACAGCCTGCTCCTCAGGCACTTCCCATCCCATTGCTGGGCTTTATTCCAGCTATAACCCGAGCGCAAAGTGGGGAGCTGAGCTCAGTGTGGCTGCTGGAGGATTGCACGTAGATTAATGAATACATCAAGTCGATGGTGGTGGGGACAGATAGTGTCTTTTCTGCCGTTAACGCAGGGCTGGAAGAATGAGTCGATGGCCAGTGATGACTGCCCAGGTTACATTGTCTTCTCTTTGATTTAATCACTGTATGATTAGTCCAGACCTTGAAAATTATGCTATTAAACATTGTGCTGTTCCTTTTATTGGATGGATGCTGGTAGAAGTTACTGGAAGATTTCCAGTACTCCTACTTCCATAGACAGCGTGCAAAGGTGCAAAGGCTGTCTGGGATCCCACCTATCTCCCCCAAATCAGCATCAGTGCTACCTGCCGCACCCCTGATATTTGGCTGTCTGCTTGAAAGCCTCCGGCGATGGGACACGTGCCCTGTCCCACCCCCAAACCCTTCCAGTTCATTGCTGTCCCTGTCACAACGAGGATTTCCTTTATATCTGACCTAAATCTTCCTGGGGACAATGTAAGCCCAATATCATCACTATTCTGTAATGAATATTCATTATAATTCTGTAATGCATAACGAAGGTCAGTGTTCTTTCATAAGATAGAAGAAAGGCATGCAGGAGGTCCATTTAATAACAGAGATGACTGGTATATAAAGCAGGGAGATATTATAATTAATATCACAAGAGCAGCAATGTGCTAAGGAAACTCCTGGCAACCAGCTGAAGGGATGCCATGAAGCTGTAGCTTCAAGAAGTTAAAAAAAGCATCAACTGAAGTTAATGGAAATTCTGCCTGCATAAGAAACAGGTGGAAAGGAAAATCGGCTTATTTTAATCAAAGCGAGAGGAAAAAAAAACTAATTTAAATCAGTCCAAGTGATTGCAGGCTTAATTCTTTCCCCCTATTAGACTCTTCAGTCCTAACCCTACAGTCCTAAGAGATCTCTTTACATTGGAGACACAGGAATTTGATTTGTATGCACACTGACCCCTCGAATTGATACAGCAAAGCCATCCTCTCTCGGTGGGGTGGCTTTCAAGCTGAATCTTCTGGTAAAGATGATTACATTGAAACTATCCCTTTCTGGAAATTGTGATGGGTGGGAAGAAAGCGTCCTCTCTGTGAGTGCTCTCAGATACATGGATCTGAGGTGCTAATTAATTGCTATGGATGGAAGGAGGAGGAGGGAGCTTTGCTCCTGTTCTGAGCTGGATGCAAAGGATGGAGGAAATATGGACACGCAAATCTGTTGATCTATGGGCTGAGAACAGCCTTTAAACCCCCCGTGCTGGTTAGCAAACCACTAACCTTTCCTGCAGCCTGTAACAATAGCTCCCCTGTTGCACTGTGGTGCAAAAAAAACCCCCATAAGGTGTGGAAAAAAACCCATAAGGCTGAAGTGTCCCCTGCTCTCTGCAGAGCCCAAAGTCAGAAAACAGCACGCAGAGGAGACAATATCATCAGAGGCGACCAAACTCCTCCTCCTGGGAAAGGCGGTTTTGCCGGAGCCAAGGACGTGTTGATGCAAGGGAAATTTCAAACAGCTTTCACCTTCCCGTGTTTCCTTTCAACATCATAGCATGGGTTTGCTGCTGTTCCATTTCAGTTCTCATTGGACTGGTTTAAAACTTGTTCATGGCTGTTCACCTTGGAGGAGAACATATCGGTATTGCCAGAGCGAAACTTTGGAGGTGTCTATAAATGCATCAGAACTGATGCATCAGAGTTTGGAAAATCATGTGGTCCTTGAAAAG